ATAGAAATGTAGTTTGTGTATGTTTTAATAATATTACATACATATTTGGGTAAATCTTATATTTTTAAGAGCATTTTTTATAAAGTTTTTTAAAAAGGGTATTTTTGAAAAGTGGCATTGAAAAAGTGGCATTTTTGCAAAAGCCCCTATAATTAATTAATAATTATTAATTTATAAAGAGATTTAACTAATCTTGTAAATATTTTTAAGAATTTTATTTGAAAAGCAATTTTTTTTGCTTTATAATCAATTTCTTTTTAAAACTAGTAAAAAAGAAATTATTAAGTTTAGAAAAAAAAAAAAAATAGATGTAGAGTCTAAATGGTGACATTAGTTTGAGGAATTGATGAGGAATTGTTGTGGAATTTTCATTTGGTCACATCATTTACATAAATAAAAACTTGAGGAAAGCTTGAGGAATTTCAGTCACATCACTTGGTTAAATACTATTTTTAAGTTTATAATGTTTTTATTGTTATGCTTTTACTAAATTATATATACTTTATATTGTAAATAATAATTTTCATAAAATTTATATTTAGTTTGTGTGATATTATAAAAATTAATTAGTTAACCTTTCTTAAAAAGTAAAAGACATAAATAATGATGAAATTGGTTAGGTCTATATTGGTGACTAAAGAATAAAAATAAGTTTGTAACCAATTAGTAATTAATTTTAATTTAAGGTTTCATATGATAATTTTTTTTTTTGGTCATCTGGTAAAATATATTGATAAGGGTAGGTTACAAAGGAAATTCAACTTTCGATCCTAACAAGGAGGAAGGAAACAAGTCACCAAACAAAACTACTCTAAACCATTTATAGGAACATGGTCAATACAAGAGAAAAAGGCTACACGAGAAACAGCCTATTCGAAACATCACAAAAAGCTTAGACAGAGGACGAAATTCTCTCACTTTCAAACAAGCCATATAACCAATGTGGATGACTTGAAGCAACATAAGAATTTAGTCTGCACTCAAAAGTAACACTCTGAGCCAAGAGAAAGGCTCCTCTGTTAGCTAGTGGATGCTCCAATACAACACTCCACTCCAAAAAAAATTCCAAGCATCTAAGCAGCTCTGAGGATTCATACCTAAAAGAAGGTCAAGCAATCGGTCTCAAAATGACTCCAATCAAAGAGGCATCCTGCAGAGCAAAACCCACCTTAGAACAACGATGGCTAATCAAACTTTCCATAGCCCAAAGAACACTAAAAAAAACCGCCTGATCCTTATGTGATACATTTGTAAAAGATCTACGGCTGTGTAACAACACATTCCCTTCATCATCTCGCAGAACCCATGCACTTCCTGCCAGATTATTTCTTTTAGACCACGAAACACCTACATTACACTTCAACCAAGATCGTAATGGAGGTTTCCAGATGGGTAATGGATCTTGCAGTTCATGGACTCTAGAACTAAGAGCAGGGCACGAAGTCGGGTTTGAATCTTGGCCAGAAGGAGAGCGATGATCTGAAATATCCAATCTCTGACCCAAAAACCACTCATCTACATCCACACTAATCTTTGCCACTGACTAAGCAGCATCAAAACTCTTCCCCTCAAAAAACAGAAGATTCCTGTTTTTCCAAATTCTCCAAAGAATCCAAGGGAAACTCTTCCTTAAGTGGTGAGGCCATTCTTTATTGTCTCTGTTGATCAATAAATGCTGAAAGTTTGAATAAACAACACCTTTATCAAAACCTGCCTATGGGTATGGGTAGTCAGACAATGCCCAAATTTGTCTAGCAACCTGACATTCAAACAAAACATGGTTTATACTTTCACCATCCTTCCCACAAATTTGACATCTACCATCCAATTCCATGCCTCGGTGTAACAACTGATCTGTAACTCCTAAAGCACCACTTAAAGCCTTCCACATGAAGACCTTTAACTCTGGATCGGTAGTTAACTTCCATACTTGTGCCTTTAGAGGGTTAATCGATGGTTGAAGAGCAGCTTGAGAAATAATATCCTCTCTAAAAACCTCACAAGCCATCCAATAAGCAGATTTAACTGAGAAGTCCCCATTTTTGTTGTGTTTCCAAACAAAGAAATCCTCAAGATCCACCACTGGTTTCTTTTTATTGATCTTGATAATATCTTCCGGAAATAAATGCTCCTCAAGCTTCATAGGATCCCAATCTCTTCTTCCAAAATCAATGAGGTCACAAACCTTGAGTTCTAAATCGATAATGGGATTTTTGATCCAAGGAATGCGCATAATACCATCCTCAAGCCAAGGTTCCATCCAAACCTTGATGGAATTACCATTGCCTACTCTTTTTTGAAGACCTCTTAAAAGTAATTCTCTGTCAAAAAGAATACCGTGCCAAGCGAAAGAAGGCCTAGAACCCAAAGCAGCATCAAGGAACCCAACAAAAGGAAAATACATGTGCTTAAGGAACTGAGCAAAAAGGCAATTAGGATGTTGAATGAGCCTCCAAGCTTGCTTGGCAAGGAGAGCCTGAATGAATAGAGAGATGTCTTTGAACCCAAGACCCCCCAGCTCCTTTGACAAACAAAGCTTATCCCAACTTAACCAATGAATCTTCTTTTCATGTTCATGAGAACTCCACCAAAAGGCAGCCATAGCACTAGAGAGGTTTTCACAAGTGGTCTTGGGCAATCTAAAACATTACATAGCAAATACAGGCATTGCCATTGCTATAGATTTTAGTAATACTTCCTTGCCACTCAAAGAGAGAGTCCTAGAAAACCAAGCAGACAGTTTTGTTTGAAGTCTTTCCTTGATGTAACTCATCATCTCAATCTTAGACCCACTAAAACATTCAGGAAGGCCTAGATAAGTGCTAGCACCACCTTCACTAAAAATGCCCAAGCCTGCCTTAATGCTTTCCTTTTCTGCGAGATTCACCTTTGCACCGAAGGAGATAGAGGATTTGGAAAGATTCAGCACTTGACCAGTAGCTTTCCCATAACAAGATAGAATCCTCTGTAACTCTCCGGCCTCTTCTTGATTAGCCTTACACATAAAGAGACTGTCGTCTGCGAATAAAAGATGATGAATCGAAGGTCCATCATCATGGAATTGAATACCTGAAATCCTTCCAGCAGAATGAGCCCTATTCAACAAGTGAGACAAACCTTCAGAGCATAGCACAAAAAGAAAGGGAGAGAGAGGATCTCCCTGTCTTAATCCACGTTGCGGCTTGATCAATCCATGAGGGACATCATTAATTAGAACAGAATAGGTCACGGAAGAAACACAAAACATTATCCAATTGACCCACTTTACATGAAACCCCAAAGCAAGCAACAAGGACCTGAGATAGCTCCACTCAACTCTATCAAAGGCTTTAGACATATCAGTCTTACAGTCATATATTCTGCAGAAATCTTTGGTTTTGTCTTGAGGCTGTGCACAATCTCATGGGCCACCACTATGTTGTCAGAGATCAATCTATCCTCCACAAAGGCCGATTGGGAGTCAGATACTAAACCAGGAAGAAGAGGTTTAAGTCTCTTTACCAGGATCTTGGAGAGGACCTTATAGAGGACAGAACAGAGGCTAATGGGTCTTAAATCCTTCATCTCAGTAGGGTGCAGAATTTTGGGAATGAGGCAAAGATGGGTATAGTTCCACTCCTCAGGAAAATCCCCAAAAAGAAAAAAGTGATGAACCTCCTTAACCACCTTATCTCCAACAATCCCCCAATAATGTTGGAAGAATAATGCTGACATACCATCAGGACCAGGTGCACTTGAAGGTTTGATGGAGAACATTGCTTCTTTAACCTCTTCTTTCGAGACCGGAAGGATGAGTCTGTCATTCATCACAGAGGATACCTTAGAAGGGAAGTCAAAGAACCAGTGATTGAAATTGACCGGATTAGCAGAAGTGAAGAGGTTGCTGAAATAAGCAGAAGCTACCTCTCCCTTGGCACCTTCAGATTTCTGCTCATTTCCATTAATATCTAAGAGAATGTCAATTCTCTTCTTTGCTCTACTGTTCTTCACCGATGCATGGAAGAACCCAATATTTCTATCACCACTATGCATCCATTTGTCTTTACTCTTTTGTCTCCAATACTCTTCCTCCTCATTGTAGGCTATTGCAAGATCCTTTTTTAAACTGTAAACCAAGGAAAATCTGGGGAAAGAGGAGGACTGTTCCAATTCCAAAGCATTCTCAATCAGTTTTTTGTCTTTTGCATTCAGATTGTTCATTTTTTTCCAAGAACTTAAAGCCTTTCTGCAACCCCTCAGCCTCTGAGCCACATCATCAACCCGAGAGCCAGTAGACGCATTCCAAGCAAGGAGAATAGTCTCTTCAACCTCTGGCTTATACAATAACCTTTTGTTAAATCTGAACTGGCCTCTGTAATGGTCTTGAGAAGCAGTCAACTTTATCAGCACCGGCCTATGATCGGATCCTCTCAAGTCCAAAAAGGATTGATTAGACACTGGAAAAAGGGAGAACCATTCTTTGTTTCCAAAGGATCGATCCAATCTACTTTGAATCCAGAGATCGTACCTTCCTATCATTAAAGTCCCCAACTATACACCAAGGGTCTCTTCTTCCCAACCCTATTCTACTCAATCTTTCCCAGTTGTCTTTCCTCCTCTTGAAAACAGGATCTCCATATATACATGACACAAAGAAGGTGAAAGCACCAAACTGTACTTGAAAGTCCATCAGATTCTTATCTATATACTTGAGATCGATATTTACACCAGCCTTAATGAACAAGACCAAACCACCACTTTTACCCTCAGGCTCCACAGTAAAAACCCTCGCATAACCAAGAACTTCCTGTAGATCCACTAAATCATCACGAACATGCATCGTCTCCATCAAGAACAACATCTCAGGAAAAAGTTTTTTACGCAATTCCTTGAGACGGTTTCATATGATAATTATGTTTGATAACTATTAAACATATTAACATAAAATTCCACCAAAATTTACCTTTTATTAACATAAAACCCTCGTAACATCATTCTAATTGTATATCTATTGTAGTTGAGAACTGTAATGGATCCTGCTCTACACTACAAGAAATCTGTGTCACGGTCTAAACTAGCTGAAAAATATTTCCAGGCAAGTTTCAGAATTAAAGACGAGAATTTTTGTTTCGGCTTCGGTCTTAACACCAACCAACTCTTGTGTTCTATGGGAGATTGACAAAGAAGAATAGAAAAGCAACTCTTGCCGATGAGTTGGTGTCAGATCCTAAAACTTCTCAGTACAGGTTAGTTACTATCATTGTCTATTAAGAAACAATGTATAGGAAATGCCTAAATTCTGTATCAAGTATTATGATAGGTATTAGTATAAGTGTGTGGTTTATCTATCCAACTAATAGGAATCTGTGTCTTGATGTTGTGAATGTGTTTTTGTTGATTATGGTTTTACAGGAAGCGTAAAGTTAGGGAGATTGAGGAGAAGAGTAGAGCTGTCACGAATAAGAAATGGAAGAAAAAGGGAAACCAATCCAAGAACACAAAGCAAACAAGGAACTGAATTACTTTTGTTAGAGTATGATCAAAGTTTTGGGACACATTTTTCTATTTTTAATAGAATATGATCATAGTATTGGACACACTTTCTTGTGGTGCTATAGACCTTACGTTGTAATGACTCATGTTGTTTATGGACTTCGTTTAAAGGATTTGCAGCACTCATAGTGCCTCCCTGCTTGAGTCATCTAGCACTGACCATGCCACACATATTTATGGCAGCACAGCAAAACTTTGCTAGTGAATTTGGTATTCAGCAAGATCTAAACTATGTGACTTTCTTCTTTTGAATCATAGTTGTAGTGAGAAGGCCAAGAGTATTGCTGCAGCTGCTTCGAGCCGGGGAAAGATTGAGGTCAGTTGTTTGAATTTTTGTTTTGACTCGGCCTTGTTACAATCTATGATATTATATCAGCTCTTTGGAACTAAGAAGATGGATTGTGTGTTTAGGATTTAAATCTGTGTCAAGTTAAACTGTTTAAGCTCGCTTTTTTTTGTTTGAATTTGTGTTTTCTTTTGGCTCGTTATTGTTGAAATCTAAGATCCTAGCATCTGTTTGGAAGCAAGAAGATGTATCGAGGACTAGAATCTTTGTCTCAAGTTAATATGTGGTTTGATTGAACCATAAATTAAACTTGCTTGTGGTTTGAGTTTGTGTTTTTGTTAGGAATTGATAGAATCTAAGATCATGTCAGCTGTTTGGAACTAGGAAGATGGATTGTGTTGACTAGAATCTAATTATTTTAAGATCTGTGAATTGCACTTGGGGAGCATTCACTCGGTTAATGCATATGTTATTCTTGATCGCTTCCAGATAACCGAGATCAAAGACTTTGCGGGTCAAGAAATCAAAGTAAAGCGGTTAGTGGAAGCGGATTCAAAAAAGCACTGGACCGGCTCCTCCTCCTCGGTGGCACCTTCAGCGGTTGATGCGGTTCTTGAGCAGATATAAAAGAAACGAAAGCCGAGAGAAAGAGAGAGACGCTAGTTTAGCTCTTCAGTCCAAGAGAAGACACGATGATGTCTGAAATGTGACCGACTCTTTTAACGTTCTTCTGTAAGTAATCTTGTTTTCTGGTCTGTTAAGAGAAGTGATCTTTAGTAGACTATGTAGAATTTTCTCAAGTGATTTGGTCACATTCTTTGGCAGAGTCTAAACTGAGTCCCTGTTTTCTTGTTTGATTCGGATTTATTTCTTATGTGTCTCTCTCGAGAGATTTCAATAAACTGAGATCATCCTCAATGAAATGGGCTTGCAATGCAACTTGCCCAACTTTTGAAAACAACAATTCATTTGCGACTGCAATCTACATTGTTCTTGTAAATCGTTTGTTTTCTTAGTTTCTACCTAATGAAGCTCATATGGTCTCTATACAACAAAAAATTATTGTTTTGGTTGTAAAATCTAAAACCTGAAGTAAAGCTTGATTGATTTGGTTTATGGTTGCAGGTAGGCCTGGGATAAAAAACCAACCCGAATTTTCCGACCCGACCAAACCCGAAGAAACGCAATTCGGCATGCTTCGGGTATGGGAGATATACCGATCGGAATAGATGAAATTAGGACTTCGGTTTTCTATTCGGTCGGTTCGGTTCGGGTATTCCGATCGGTTACCGACGAATACCGAAAATTAAACCTAACTATAAACCTAAAATTACCCTAATCTCTCGACAAACTTCACATCTCACTCTCCCACCCGACGATAGCCACTCTGTCTCACCATGGTGATTTGTTCTTCTTCTACAACATCTATGACTCTTCTTCAGCTTCTTCTTCTACATCTTCTCTCTTCTCCTGTTTTCTTATTCTCTCTTCTTCTTTATTCTTCTTCCTTGTTCTTCTGTTATCTTCTCCTTCTTCTTCCATCTTCTTCCATCCTCTTCAGATCTTGGAGGAAAGAATGAGACATGAAGGAATCTAGATGCAAGACGAAGTGTGATGGTATATATTTTTTTCGTCGTTGCTCAGATTCGCCGTAGCCGCCGTTCAACGTCAGTCGCTCAAAGTATGATAGTAACTGAAAACCCTAATCGATTTTTGGGTGCTGGGCTTGGGCTTAAGAAATTTTTTTTATATTTGTGGGCTTGTAAACCCAAAATAACTGGTTTTGGCTTTTGGGCCAGCAAAATCTAATATATATATATATTAAAGAAAATCAGTTATTTTCGGGTTTTAGCTCAAAACCGAAATTAACCGAAAACCGAACCGACCGAACCGTAATCTATTTCGGTTACTTTCGGTAGAGTTTTCAAATTCCGAAATAACCGAAAAACCGATTAAACCGATCCGAACCGACCGATTAACCGAACTCGCAGGCCTAGTTGCAGGGGAAAAAGTGGCTCTTTACAGAGTTGATAGTCGTAAACAAGCAAGCCCGTGTTAGCTAGGTTTTTTCCATTGTTGGATTGTTTTGTATCAATGTTCTCAATATTTTTTAAGAAATTTTCACGTAAAACAATATTTTGAGTTTTGTTCTCATGTTTTGGCAAAGTGAGATGAACCTCTCACAGAATAGCCAATTGAGCTATTTCAGACCAAATTGCCCTTAGAGAACAACTATTCTTGTTTGATTACGTTTCTTAACTCTTCTACAACTAAACTACATGAAAGAAAAAATGATTATATATATATATATATATATATATATATTTACTTAAACATATAAAAACTTAGAAAATCAGAATTTAAAGAGAAAGAAATGAAATAATCCGAGAACGAAGGCGAGCTGCTCTTTATACTAAAATTGAAGGAAATTTTGTTTTAAATCTGAAATTTTGTAGTGAAATAATTGATTTTGCTTCATTATCAAGTAGAGAGATTAGAGTTAAATAGATTAAGAGATTTTCGGCGAGTTGGAGAAATGATAAAAATGGTGAAAAAGCAAGTGTTCTTCCGACGGAATCGACTTAATCACCGGACAATTAAACAAAACTCAAACTCTTTAGTTTTTTGAACTTAAAATATGCTAGATGTACAATATTTACATGTAAAAACATTCAAAACGTATAAAGAAAACAAAATTCTGAGATAACTGTTAAAAATAGCTGCAAAATTAGGGATGCAAAGGTTGAAGACGACTGCCAAATTACAATTATACCCTTCATTGAATTTCTTCAGTGTACTTATATGCAATTTACAATGTACGTATCATTGATTATGTTGACATGTAAATATGTTAGATTATCGTCTCTCCGATTTGCATCTTTGGCGAGTAGAACATAATGTCAATTTACTTTCATGCGATCGATTTTAGTACCCGAATCACAAGTCTTGCAAAACAGTTTTCAAAGATCTATTTTTTTTTTTCAAAATTTGCAGGGTAGATGCGGAACGGAGTATCGTCTCTCCTGCAAGTAGTAATCTTAGTTGAATCTTCGTTAAAAACTTGATGCCCAACCTAAATCTGGATAAATCGTTTTCAAAATTTTGATTTGAAGTACATCTTTCGTATGATTATATCATTTCAGAATTCTCTTTATTCTTCAATAGCAAACCCAGATTCTGCAAAATTTTCAAGAAATTGATGTTTTGTACTAGGTCTGCTTTCTTCTTTAGTTTTTTTTGTTAACGTACGTAATTTGCGACTTAGACAAAAAGTTGTAAACCATTGTTATATATTTTTTCCCTTTGAATTTCTTCTATGTATGTGTACACAAATTTCTGTGTACGCAATATTGATTTTGTGGACGTGTACGTTTCTTAAATTATGTACCATTGTTGAGGCTGTGTACGTGTAATACTAACAAATTTTTTAATTAAAAAACTTGGTTAATTTGACTAACATTTCACAATATACTATTGGTATACATAAACACAAAAATGAAATATAATAAATCAATATAATAAAATCAATCTTAAAACATAGAAATATATATACATAAAATTTTGTATTAAATGGCATGCAAATATAATATTCATTTACCTATCATTTTCATATATCACTACTCTAATTATGTTACACTAGATTGTTGATAAAGAATATGTAATGTTTCAAACTGAACCCGTAAATGTACACGGCAATATTGAGATACACGTACACGCACATGACCACACTAACCAGTTACTGTACTAATATCATAAAATGTCTTTTCTATTGTACTAATATCTACTTCCGTCTCATCAGTTGGACATTGGCTAAGTCATTGGAGACTAGAACATCATCATTATCGAGTATCTCCGCCTCACTACTTAGCAATGTAGAAAAGTCACTATATACTTCGGAAGACTCATTCACGGTCACTAATCTGATTCAAGTTAAATCCTCCTTCATGATCCTCCAAACAAAACTCCACACAATTACCATTCACTTCACTTCTACCATGTCCATTCGTGTACGTCAAATATTCACCTTCACATACTTCTTCGTGTACACAGTCAGTAAAGTACATACATTCTTTCAAATCATGTCTTACCTCACGGTTAGGACTCAAAGATGGATAAATATTACTATTCTCTCCAAAATCATCGAGGATGCCCACCACGAATCAAAAAGAATGTATCCAGGCTCATTTGATTGTCAATGTAGACATGCGGGCGTTTACTTTCTATCATCACTGACATCTTTCCTGGCATCCAGTATCTAATTACAGCATTGCATTCAGTGAACTTCAAACTGAAAACCTCACATAATGTACGTACAAATTCCGTGTACGTCATGTTTTCCTTAACACGTACACATCGACCAAACCTGCCTTTCTCTGGTTCAAATTTCTATTCTTCTTATTTGCATCTTCACTCACCCACCATAGTAAATACGAGAATATCTATTACCCACCTGCATCATAAATTCAGCAGAATCCCATTAAATGCAACTGAAAATATGATTACATCTACAAAAAACAAAAAGAATTTCCAACTACACACTTTATAAACATAAATGTATCCTCATTTAGCATTTGCAACAAACAAAAATGGAAATAAAAATTTTCTGGGTTTTTATATAAAAAACAATGTTGATTTTGTACACAATCAAGATCCTAGTGTGTTTTAACAAAAAACTTCTTAAACAATTTCATTACATACACGATCAATGCTTTTCTTGTCTCCAAACTTTGTAAATCAACAAAATCAAAACTTCTCCAGCATCACAGTCGTTCATACAAATTTGTTGTTTGTTGGTTCATGTTTATCTCTTACAATTATTCACACGTATAAACAAATATTAGAAGAAGTAATGATGAGTTTGCATTAATTGTGACAAGAGTCATGTCTAAACTTTTTTGGAATTAAATCCTAATGTCACATTATATTTTAATGTTATTAAGCCCCTTTTTGCACTGTAGAACCGCAAAAAACATTTAAAACGAAAATATCTTCACCTAACCGGAACAGTGTACCTAACTGAACCGCATAACTGAACCGTACACGGAACAGTATGTCGTTACGCTGGCAGAGGTAAAATGGTCAGATTTTGGCTTAATTGTCAAAACGTGAGAAGCAAATCTCACTTTGCCAAACCGTAAAAATTAAACATGGTCTTCTGCCCTGGCCTGATGATAATAGGTTTTCAAGATCAATTAATCCTAAAACACTATCGTGTCGTTGTAGTATTTTAGGTTGTCAATCCAATCTAGTGTGATGCAAACAGATGAGATATGATCAGAATTTATTAAGTCAAGCCAAGCAGAGAATTGCGGTTTTCAAACAGTCCTAATGCGAAATAACAGAAATGAAATGAAACTGGAATGCAAACTAGCAATAGCAGGCAGTAGAATAACAAAGCAGATAAGATAATAGGCAATCAAATGGATGAGAGATTCCTAAGGACAGGGTAATCGAATAGCGTGGTCTCCTTAATCTATTTAGACGGTTGACAAAACTTCACAGAAGCTATCCCTTGACAACAAGTTCAAAAGCAAATCAATTCACCACCGTGATAGAAATTCTCAAGCATAGCTAGACACAGACCTAATCACCATTAGCGATCTCTAACTAAGCAGGCAATATCGAATCAACTTGTTAAAGCCAATACCAGCTCTAAACGGCCAATACCTTGGGATAGAGACGAGTATCTCTGGAATTAGTGGATCAGACATTCCATCAAACACCTTTTGGGTGCGGGAATGTCTGGATTCATTTTCCAGTTGATCAGAAAGGAACAAGCAATAAGCGCAACTAATCCAGAAGGGGTTCAAACAATCTAAACTCAACCATCTAAAGCGACTAAGGCAACCACGACTACTC